TTCGGGAGATAGGGATCAGCTGAGCATATCTTCGACGTCATCTACGATTTACGAGCGGTTTGACCAGCTGTTCGCCAATCTCCTGATGCAGATTTCACGAGCGAATTCTTTTCAAAAATACTAACGACGGTGTTTAAAATACATATTTTTTAATGAAATAAATCGGGTTCCTTGGTATAATTCTGAACGTGTGAGATGCGAGAATCAACGAATGGGCCAGGCATAGAATTTATGAATAGTTCGATATTGAGGGGATTTCTCATTCGGCAAATTTCTAATAACAAATTTATTAATGTCAATTCGTATACCGGCGACCGAATAGATAAAATAAATTAATAAAAAAGATGAAAATAGAAAAATGAATGACTGTAAAACATTTGTGGGAAGAGAGAGAGTGGGAGAAAGAGCAGAGACCTACTGTGCCCTTCATTTAATATTGAGGAGGCAGAAAGTGCCTTGCCTTTCTTTAGTGCCGGCGAGACACTTTAATTACACCCCAGAGTATTTAATCACGTAATGCAAACTTTGGAGAATGGTGATTAAAATGTATGATTAAAAGAACATCCAACACATCTCATCACTTCGTCATATACCAATGACTTACTGTCCTAGAGTATCCATTATCCAATTATCTCTGTTGAACAGATCCGCTAACAAGGAGTCCACCTGGACAAACATCTTACTTGGAATACTCATACAAGACTTAAATATGAAGAAACTGCTAGACGTTTCTGGCTCTTTAACGTTAACTAGGCAAACGCTCTAAACTCGAATTACTTACATATGGCTCAATTACATAGTAAGGCCTATTTGGACTTATGGTGTTAAGGTTTTGTCACCACTAAACCTCCCGTATCCAATTCTTACAAACCAAAATCCATCGTAAAATCTTCAATGCTCCTTACTTTACCATAAATAAAATCATCCATAATGACCTTAGTATTCTGTTTGTTGTGGATTTGGCCCAATCCAAACATCTTTCCTTCCGTAATAATCTCCGGGTACATCCAAACCCACACTCCGATTTCTCATAATCCTCTTAAGCACATCCTCTTGGCGTGACGTCTATTTTAATTACTGGAAGAGACGGTCCCTTATACAGCCCCAACTTCAAACTTGTATGGAAATGACATGCGCGTTGTGGTGAACCATGTAGTTAATATGTTAGTGTGTCCTCGTAATATTATCTTGGAATCGTGCGTAAAGAGTGTGTAAAATTATGTTGTGTAAAATTTTAGCATGCCTGAGTGATTTTGTAAGTAAATATTTGTCTTAATGTAATTAATAAGTCTCTTTAGCTGTTCCATATATCTGTGATGCGTGGATCCAAACAGGTTTCAGTAAGTAAGTGGATATGTCCAATTTTTTACTAACTTTTAGTTTTGTGTGTTTCCATAGAACTGAATGTAGATGTAATCTTCGTTCAAAAACTTAATCCCCTCTCAAAATTAGAGGTTTTACTTTTCAGAATACGTAGAATTCGAAAAACGAATAAAAAAAATTTTGTCGGTCCGCCGTCCGTGCATTTTCTCCGAATCTACTGCACCGATTTTTTTTCAAATTTGGATTTAAAATCAGAGGTAACTCGAGGATGATTATCCTTCATCGACATTATTATTCGCCTTTTCCTTTCAAGATGATGGCAGAAAAACCTGCGTCCTTGTAGCGCCTAAACGAATGCACAGATTTCAATGAAACTTGGCAAAAGCCTTCTTCTCGACGCCTTTTAAATTAATATGTGTAACATACTTCATCGAAAAAAAGTTATGAGGGAGGGTAAAATTAGATTCCGTATACACTTTTTTGTTAATATTGTACATGGTTATTTCAAAATTTACTCAAAAAAAACAACAAAAAAAAACCTTAAAACCGGACAATTAGGAGCGAAGATATGGTCTCTAGATATTTTTTATATATTATACTACAAACGTAATATCCTTTGTTTTGGTTTTTGATTTTTGAATGTGTTACTGCAGTAATGCTATTTTTTTTTTTTAGCAAGTGTATACTATTGAATAAATAAAAATGTTTAGTGCAATAATTGGAATCACCTTTTATTTCTTTTTCTTTGTCACTCGGAAGGTAATGTTACTTTAGAGGTGTAATTGTCCCTGTAAATGGCCCTGTTTCCTGTTTCTATGAAGAGTTGAAATGGCTTTATGCTTCCAACCGCCGTAAGTATTTTTTAGCATCCTTCCTCTTCCAAGTAATTCACTCCCGCCGCCCTTCATACATCTCCTAGCTCCTTCAATTCAAATTCTCTGTTCGTTCCCGCAATACCCGTTCCCGGTCATCAGATTTATATATAAAGCGGCCCACCGAACCGCTGCTTTCGATAAATCTTTTATTATTCGATCCTCATCCCTATGAAACTCCATCCCCCCAACATCCGTCGCTCTAATACTCTCCCTACTTTTAAATCCCGACTATTCAATCATTTTATTTCCATCCAGTCCCTCTAAAATTGTAAATAGTAAATAGGAAACTGAAATTGTTAAAATATGTATATATTCTATTAGTTGATTCCCAATTATTTTCATCTCATTGTTCTTTCATTTGTTTATTTTTTTAATAGATTTAATCTAGAAGATAACTTTTTTTTTCTCTATTATATCTATTATTTAAGTTTGTAAATACATATATATATGTCTAAGGCTCAAAAGCCCACATTTCTCTCCATATTAATTATTCTAAAGGGATTCGTCCCAGGAGAAATAAAAGCTTATTATTATTAATATTATAGCAACATCTGTCTGTAGAATCTGTGTACTGTCAATCATTAGCGGATCCAGGATTTAATTTAGGGAGGGGGCCAAAAGCTTTTTTTTTCATGTCTATAACGATAATTATTTTGGAAAAAAAGCAAGATACTAACTACATATATGAAATGGTGTTTAAGTGATTCTTGAAGTCCTATTAAATGCAATTACACGTATAATAAAACTTTAATAGGTAATTTTTTTCATTTTTTTTATAAAACATCTTCATTGGATTCAACATTTTACCATTTTTGGAGGGCTTCAGCGCGAAAGTTGTGTTGTGTTTGCAGAATATTTCGCTGTTGGAACTGGGAGGTATAATGTGTGTTCCACATAGAGTAATGGTGCGAGTAATGAACCTTGAGATACGCCTAATAGTTCTGGCGCTTTTAAAACAAAAAAAATCCGCCAGAGAGCAAAAATTGAAGAATGGGATAGTAAGTATGTGGAATTAACGTCCTGAGTTTGGTAAGAACAGCCTGATACGATAGTTGCATACGATGTACAGATGTACATGAGATGCCGTACAGCTTCGGGTATTCTTAGGATTTGTCCAAGTTAGAAAAGAAGGAGTGTGGAAGTTTTTTTTTTTTTATTAATTACTAAAACGATAAACAATACAACCCCATTTAAAATGAGTTTTACAGCTCGTGAGGCACGAAACAACGCGATTAGTCGCCTTTGCATAACCTCGCAGGGGTGCCCAGAAGGGAGTTTCATGGCGCAAGTTGTGCCATGATAATTTTTGAGGGGGGATATTTTGACGGGTTTTTGAATCTTTGAGGGTGGCAAATTTCGAAAAGGTTATGAATTTTTGGACAAAGGGATAAAGGGAAAACATGGAACATACCACATCAAGTATAATTGTATATGATTCCACTTTAGCTTACTCTGTTTTTAAAATAAGTCAAAGAACAAAATATCTTTGGAGGTAAGATCTTGCGCATGGACCTTGGAGAGATGGACACCCCTGCAATCTCAAAAAGGTTAATTAGGAAACCTGAAGGTATACTATCATTTGAGAGAATTTTGTAAATCAAGTATGCTTCTTGTCCAGAAAATGAATATTTTGAAAATTTATGTCGATAATAAAAGCGTTAAGAATTATTAAAAAAAAAAAAAAAATCGTATAAGCATAGTCCGATTTATTACAGAAAAGTAGGATATTTGGGTATTTTAAGTGTCATATTTTTTATTGTATAGCAAGCTAAAAAGATATTTAATTCAGGTAATTAGTAATTATTTTATAGTTTAGTAAACAAAAGGACTTTACAGCGGCTAAACTAAGCTAAGTTCCGTTTTTTCTTCAAATCTTGAATTATTTTTAATTTTTTTTTATCATCTACCAACTAGATTTCTATTGGTGAATTATGACCCCCACCGTTAGAAGTTCAAGTCTCTTTTGATGGAGTTGAGATTTATTAAAAAACTCGTTGAGATAGATCTCTAACGTAAAGAAATGATGTGATTTGATGTACTAATACCAAAGTACCAGAAATACTGTTAAACAAAACTGACCACAATTATTGGAAAACCGTTATTTATTTATTTGCATGACGTGGAAAGTATTACAATAAACACAATTACAAAGTTACACTTTTTATTCAATAAAAAATAAATAAAAATACTGCTTTGGTAATATAACAGTATTTTATCAACAGATCTAAATTATTTTGATCCTTATTAGATTAAGTATCAAAGTTGCCATTTGAAAACAATTAATATAGACTGTAAAATATTTACAGTTTATGATTTTAATTATAAAGATCATATGATATATATAATACTTATTTTATAAGAAATACGACTAATTTTCCAATTAATTATTTATTACATACTTTCTAAAACTGTAATAATACCTCCGGACTAATTAATAACTACGTCAGTGATAATATATCACCATCTGATATAAAAATTTAATTAAATATAAGAGGTTACACTAGGTTATATAGAATTATGTTAACTGAATGATTATATCATTTATAACATCACTCATATAACAAAATAATGTTAATATTATATAAGAGAACATTCTTTTTGTAAGGGCCAGCTCTAAAATATGTAAGTGTAATTAACAATTTTTGTGCAGTCATGTTGATATTGTTAAAATAAATATGTTTATCAAGTGAATTTGCGTTACTCATTTAACATGTAATAATAAATAGGTAATAATTGGTGACCCCGACGTGATGGTCGACCTCTTGTTGTAGTGGGACAGGCGAGAAGCTTCGGCTGCGATACGTTCGAAAATATCGTTGACGAAGCTGTTCATGATGCTCATCGCCTTGGAGGATACTCCCGTGTCGGGGTGGACCTGCTTCAGCACCTTGTAGATGTAGATGGCGTAGCTCTCCTTCCTCCTCCTCTTCTTCTTCTTGTCGGACTTTGAGATGTTCTTCTGAGCCTTCCCGGCCTTCTTCATGGCTTTACCGCTCGCCTTGGGTGGCATGTTGAATAATACTCCGACCCAATAGAGTGGAGCTACCTTGGTGATCTCTGTTACAAGCATGGATAGGTGGGCACAATTCTTCCCGCGAGCACTGAATTGGATACGTCTGATATAGGTCGTAGCATGATTTTATAAAGCTTAAAACAAGCCTCAATATATGATATCTCTAAATCAGAAAGAAGATTTCAAATTCGAACGGTAAATCCTGTAATTAATTCGCTCAAACAAATTCATCAGCTTTATATATTTAATGAACCAATTTAACGTGGGCTCTAACAAAGTTCCACAAGAGTAATATCCGTCATGCTTAAGCAAATGTTTACAAGGACAACCACTAACAATAAACATTTGCCTTCATTGATATTATATAATGTCATTCATAAATACAGGGGGTTTGTTTACCAAACATTACAACCGCAAAATGTGTAATGATGAAGATCCATACAGAACCCATTGAGGTGGCCTTTACATAAGTAATATAGGGAATTCATGAGGTGGCCTACCAGGGGGGACAGTCGGGTATCGACCCGTCTTCCCTCGCTAATAACTACATTATAATTCCCCACTTCATAATTATAACAGGCATTTTATAGGTCATGATATTAGGTTCTTATGAAGAATTAACTTATTAATAATTACAAAACACATTAACGAGCATAACACGGTTAACCATTAAGTTAGGTACTTAATGGTTAACCGTGAATACAGGGTATCCTGTACGTAATGAGAAGTATGCATAAATGTAATAGTCGCCCTAAAGAGCTATAAAAAAAGTCTATATATACAATGACCCGATTTTTTGCAGTTGAAACACTGCAACAGTTGAAACACTGCATCCCGAATTTTAAATCAACACTGAGTGTTTCCCAATGCTACATCCTACGCCCTGATGTAGGATGTAGACTGCAACCTGCATGTAGACTTCGACCTGCAAAGTGGGTCGAAACGTCGACAAAAATTAAATAATAGTTTTTGTATAATTTAGTATTTATTTGACCGCACCCCCGATCAACTTCATCTTATAAAATAATTAATGATTGCTTCATAGTAAACTAGCTACACCAAGCAGAGATTGTCTTTTAGTATATTATTTTCAATAATGAACCATTTTAATCGAACAAAAATTCAAAAAACCCCTTTCAAAATTTGAGGTTTTACGTTTCAGGGTACGTAGAATTCGCAAAACGAATACAATTTTTTTTGGCCGTCCGCCATCCGCGCATTTTCTCCGAAACTATTGGACCGATGTTATTTAGATATAAAATCAGAGTTCACCCGAGGATGATCCTTCTACATCGACATTACTATCCGCCTTTTCCTTTCAAAATGGCGGCCGAAAAACCTGCGTTGCTATAGACTGCAGCGCCTAAACGAATGTGCCGATTTCAACGAAACTTTGCTAAAGTCTTCTTCTCGATGCCCTTGAAATGTATTTATATAACATACTTCAACAAAAAGAAGCTGGAAGAAAAGTATACACTTTTTTGTTGATATTGTGACAAGATGTTTCAAAGGTATTTAAATTTCTTGAAAAATGAAGAAAATCAGAGCACTATTAGTAAAAATATCGTGATTATTAAATATTTTTGGTTTCTTATTTTCAATAATGAATCATTGTAATCGAATAAAACATTAAAAAAACTTAAACCCCTCTCAAAATTTAAGGTTCTACGTTTCAGGGTACGTAAACTTCGAAAAACGAATACAATTTTTAATTGTAATGAAAATTGTTAAAATTGTAATAGTATCAATAAGTATTGTGTAACAGTAAGTAAGTACAAAGTAACAGTAAATATTGAGTTCGTGAGAATTTTTGAATCTGAGTTTTCACCGGAAATAAACGTTTTGTGGCTCTCTCAGTCCAAATAACCAAGCCCCACAAAATGGTGTGTGTGTGTGTGTGTGTGGTTTGGAAATAAATTTCCTTTTTAACATATGTAACCGAAAGAATTAAAGAGTAGGTGTTATCTACAAACCTCAAGTTTTCACCGCTCGTCTGCTGTACGTGTCGCATAAAAGTCGAGAAGCAACTGGGGTTGTCGAATCTATAAAATTTGGCCTAAAAACTTTTTCTTTCATTTAAACTACTCAAGTCTGTACACGGCTTTTCTGATTTCATTCATTATTAGTTTAACTGTTCACACTGGTTTCGTTTACACCTAATATTCAAAAAAGATTTTCAAGCGAAATGTTGACGCTCTAATATTTATCTACTTATATTTATTCTGTTTACTAGCGTGTTTTATCCTATGTGTTATGGATGAAGCTCAGACTTTTTAAAAATAGATCCCTATTTCCATCTTAATAATTAATTAAATGGTAAGTGGAAATTGTGTGATACGCGCAACCCACCAGATCTTTTTCTCTTTTTTTTATGGTAAACATCATTTCTTCATTTTAGTTTTTAGGTAAAAAGCCACTAGATATTTTTATTTTTAATACATATTTTTAGTTTGATTTAAATTTTGTAAGTAAAACAGGAAGATATGCATACATACAATACGTATCACGAGCGTTGAAATATTTTGAGGAAATAAATAAATGAGGAAGGACAATAAAGACTGTTGGCGTCGACAAAAGTCAATCACCCGTGGTCAGGGAGCTCCATTCCGCTCCGGTGGAACGACGCCTTACCGAACGACCTCGTCTTCAAATTTATATTTTGCCTTTACTTCATTACATATTTATAAAACTCCATCACATCACGAAATCCTAAAAAACACAAATATGCAACGTTGTGAAAATAACCTCTTCATTCCTGTAAAAGCCGTTTTAGCAGCTATCTAATAAATCCAAAATTGCGAGATTGAATCCGGGTGCTAGGGGAATTTTAGCTCTGGCATTGTACGCTCTAGAATCTCCCGCCCTTTTCCCTGCTTAGGGAAAAACTTGTGTGGTCGAGAGGCGGCAAAGGAGATTAAGAGATAATAATAATAAAACGCTTGGCGTACCCGAAGGTTGAATGAATGAATGAATGAAAATGAATAAAAAATAATTTTATTCTGAGACTACTGTACCCTAAGAATAATAACAGAGTTACAAATTTATGGGTCTTAGTCTGACAAAATAATAAAAATACAAACTAATTTACTGTTAATTGTTATTTCAATTGTGCAATAGATTGAAATAAAACATTGTACAGATGCAAGTAATTTTACATGACAGGGGAAGTTTGAATGTGGAGTAGGTGTTGGTGGAACAGGAGGTGTTTGAAGGCATTTGAGGACGAGGATTGACGCATGGAGGTAGGAAGTGAGTTCCATAAGGAAGCACCACGAATGACGAAGGATTTGCTGAAGGAGGAAGTTTTATGGGAGGGAATATATAAGTCTATAGGTTGAGGCCTAGTATTGAGAGTGTGGATAGAGGAGCGTAGAGTAAGGAGTTCCAGGATGTAGGGAGGGTTTTTGGTTCTGAAGACTTGGAAAAGGAAAACGCCAAGAAGGAATTCTCGTCGGGAAGCCACTTCAACTCGGTGTACCAGAGTGAAACATGTGAACGCCTGGAGATCCCGAAAATGTATCTTATGAAACAATTCATGAGTCTCTTTAGTCCCATTTCCAGCCTGGCAGATAGCCCTCCATACACCAGGCAGCCGTAGTCGAAGTGGAGGAATACAAGGGAGGTAACAAGGAGCTGTCTGGTTTTTAGAGGAATACAATCACGGAATCTTAGGAGTTGTTTAAGGGCAGTTATGGATTTTCGGGTAATCTGGGAGATATGATTATCCCAGGAGAGGTTCTGGTCAAAGGTTACTCCTAGGTTTTTGACTGTAGGGAAAAAATGGATGGGATGGTTATTGAGGTAAAGTAGATGAAAGTAAGGAAGGGAGCTGATGAGATGTCTGGACCCGATGAGAATAGCCTTTCGATGTCGACACCACCAATCGCAGCCCATACACCTCTCTCCACTGGTCCCCATCCAACCCCAACCCCGCCAAATCAGTACTAATCAGTAACCTTGATGACATTCTTTCATCAAGAAATAACCTTTTATAAAATAATAACCTAATAATGATGATAATAACGTTTTAGGAATTCTTTCGTTATTAAGCCCAACAATTTTACACGCCCGTTTTACTCGCCACATTGTAATTATCGCAATAATATAAATCGGTTACAGTTCACGCAATTCGGCATTGTGTAACAGTCTAAATTCTCCGGTTGATTATTCCACGCAATTCTTTATTTTCAAAAACATTACGATGTTGAGCATCTCTTAATGTAAGAGGCCACGTTTGGCATCCATAGAGTTCCGAAGATAGAATAACGGTTTTGTAAATTCTTATTTTTAAGTTTCGGGGTAGAAGGCGCTAGCTAATGAGTTTTATAAATAACAAATGAAACAATCGAAAAATAACAAGCATTGGCACCTTCAGCCTAAACTTAATTTCCTCTTCAATTTCGTTTTTCTAGTTATCGCCAAACCTAGATACTTAAACTTTAGGCAAAGAACTGGGACTCAGAGAAATAAATACGGATAAGACAAAATATACGGTAAGCTGCAAAAACGACGAACATTTTGTTCATATCGAAGGTAATCTGTTGGAACGCATAGAGTATGAGATATAGAAAAAAAAGGTGTGCAAGAAAACGAACCTTACCTTGCAACTTTACTTTGGGTGTTGTGATATTTGTATAGAAAAAAATTAATTCAAGGCTGGAATTATTTTTAAACAAAATGGTTGATAGTAATCATTTTGAGGGGACTTAAAGAACGGGTAATTTAATTGTACATATTGATTGTACTATTTGATTTGTCACATTTGACTTAATTTTTTTTACTTATCTTGAGAACGTATAGAACTTTTTTGCAACAAATGAATGACGAATTGAGCGGCGTTGCCAAGTAACAAAACGGTTAAATGGCGTTTCTTGGCAATGGAACGGCGATTGTTTGTAACTTGGATAGATCGTGAGAAAAAAAATCTTAAATTGCTTTCAGTTGTGATCACAGTCATATAAATGAGACCTTAGTTTGAAATGACCCATATTCAAATA